CGCCGCGGCGACGAACCCGGCCGTGCCCGTGGCGCGCCCGGCGCCGAAGCGCGCGAGCCTGGGCGGGTACAGCGGGGCCGGGCGCGTGGTGCCCACGCTTCGGCTGGGCCAAGCGCGGAGCCTGGCGGCGCCGGTGGCGGTGCCGCGGCCGGTGGGGACGGCGATCTCGCCGCGGGTGGAGGCGGGGGAGATGAGATGGTGAGTGTTTCGGTGGATGTTGGCAGAACTGCGGAGCCTGCTGGGTAGCGCAAACATCCTATGTTTAGCAGCCTGGCATTTGAGGGGGTAGGTAGTTCTACCTTTTCATTGCACTTTTCCGGCGTTTTGCGTTGGAATCGAAGATGTGTGCCAGGGCCGCCAGCTTCTGAGTGGGGTGGCCTCAGTCGGTCGATCTGGTTCCGACCAGAGCCCTCGGGTCAGTGGTGAATGGACACCTCGAATCATGTCTGAAATCGGCAATTGATTGGACAACTCCATGGGCCAGGGCCCTTCTAATCTTTCGCTACCTGAGGGAGTCACTTCTGGATCCTGCACCAACACAGAGAGAGAGAGAGAGATATATATATATACTATATAGAGACTACGATCTTGCATACAGATGAGAATGCATTTCTGAATCACCAATCACCTGCTGACAAACACAGAACCGTGCACAAAAAAGGGAGAGAGGAGCAGAGGAGCTCTCTCAGTCTCTCTCTCGCACCATGTTCGGCCTGGCTTCCTCGCTTCAAGCTCGGCCCGCACCGCGTCTTCATGAGGTGCCTCGGCAGCCACCCTACACCGCTGCGCCTCGCCTACGCTGTGGGGAGAGCCCAGGGTTTCAGCCGTCGGCGGACGGTTTTTGGCCGTTGGAAGAAGGAGAGAAAGCCTGGGACAGGGGATAGGTCTCTCGGATAGGCAGCGACCAAAACATGATTAAGATGATTAAGCATCAAACACAAAATGGACAAGCATCAAGAAACTACTTGTAACTCTAGAAACGGCAATGATGGAAGACATTCATTCGTTGTCAGACTCTTCTACTTGAACGTGTGCGCAATTTGACCCAAATTGTTTCGGAAACGAACGCCTTTGGAACTGGATTTGGTATGTACTCCAGCTTTCCAATCCGAAAAGCTTTGATGGCCTGAAACCAGTTCCCCCCAGACATGGGACGGGTAGAGCCTTCTTCTGGCCTAGGGGATTGAAGTGTACACTGAAATACCATGAAATACCATCAAGAGTCTAACATCATTCTGTACCAGCGCCACCCAGTTCGGGTGGTTCGATGGTTCTGAGACCCAACCCAATCAGATGGCTCGGGCGGGTGTGAGCTCCGAGGATCCGCACGCACCGGCCGGGGCTCAGTGCCGCGGCACCGGTGCATGTCGGGGAGGCTCAGGAACGGAAGCGATCAGTGGGGGCCCCTGGCAAGGGGGCAAGCTGACACTGATCACAACCTCAAGTTGATGTAGAATGATGTTCAACACTCCCAGGGGGAACTCGTGTGAGGAGGTTTCTGCGGCGCTATGCAGAGATTGGCATTGAAAAGGGCTGGGATCGATGGGCATGATGGGTATGGGATGGCCAATCTCCCTGCTCTTCCCCATCAAAAACCACTCCCTGAGATGGGGCCCCAAGGACTCGGATGATGAAATCAGCCTCAGCCTCCGACTCGGTGCTCTTCCGCTTCCAGGATTCTTCCAGTGTCGATCCCACACAGTGACACCCAGCTTCCACGGTGACGAGCTTCCACGGACTCCGTACGTAGCGCGACACGTGTCACACCCGGCGAAGGACCGGGGACGGGGGGGCGGCTTCGGTGAGCGCTGAAAAGGGGAAAATGCCAATAGGCCCTCCAAGGGGTGGTGAATAGAAACGCCAAATCACGTCTAATGGAGACTCTTGGATGGGTAAGACTGAACTCCAGTTTGATTCATCTAAGAGCCTATACATGAAATGAAGGGCCCGAATCATACACCCCAAAGAACTGGGGGGGACCCTGATCAAGACCGGCCGAAGGCTTCGGTGGCACGGACCGAGTCCAGTCGGCTCGAGGCAGCCACGGTTTCGCCATCCGACCGTCTTCCGCGCTCTGTGTAGATCGGACGATGGAGACGATCAAGATGGAGAAGGAGATGGAGAAGGCTGCCTTCTCGTTGGTCTTGGACCGAGCTGGAGCTTTCTAAAAGAACATGAACAGAACCAATCACCCCCGCCAGCATTCGGTTGGTCAGAACCCGAACTAGACTATCCTATGCCCCAGGTTTTCCGGGTCCGAACGTTCAGGTCATTGGCTACCTCTGGCCCTAGTTCAGGTGATGATCAGGTCTCAAGACCTCTCTGGCCACGGGCAATCGGAGCCCTCAGTGGTCGGTCGCGGTCTCTGTCCGCGCCTTCGCAGGTGCCGAGGAGCGGCCAGAAGCCCACGACGTTGGAGTTCCTGGGCCTGGCAGGGAACTTTGGACATCTGAACTTGAAGGATCCCTTCGATGTGAAGAAGAGGGGCTCCAGTGACCTGGCGGGAGCTCGGAGTGGTGGGTGGAACTGCTCTTTTTTGAGAGCCTGGGTCAGGTTCTATAGAGATGTCATAGACCAGGAGTCACAAGACGGGGTGGTGTTTGGTCCCTAAGTGAGTGGAGTAGCTGGGCACCCCGACTACCTCCATGAAGCACCCCTTTGTCCCTTTGTGACTGCTGAGAGTTGCAGCACGTGCCCCGCTTGACGCAACCCTTCCGACATCTGGTCCGGGTCTCCCCGTAGCATCCGAACTCGGCATCGATATGCCAATCAGGCTATGCGACGGAGGTACGGGCTGGCATCACCACGTTCCTAGCCATGGCCTACATTCTTCCAGTGAACAGTGGGATGTTGAGCCTAGTGATTCCAGACAAGAGGGAGCAGCTAGTGTGCGCCACAGCCATTGCGGCCTTCTGCGGCTGCTGGCGACCTGGTGTGAACGAGGCATATATACGGATATACATGTCTAAGTCTGAGTCTAAGGGCTTACCGTTTGGCAAAGAAGGTGACGATTGTAAACGGTAGTGTTTTCAGATGACCAACTCTAGTAAGATGAGGTCCCACTGACCTGCAGGGTCTTTAACCTGTAGCAGTCAGTAAACAATTATCACTGGAACAAGGCCTTCACTAGTCACTAACCATCATCATCCACTGTTACTGGTAATTGGATAGACCCAAAGTATTGCACATGGTCTTTCCAGTGGCGCTCAGTGGCGCGCCCACTCCCATTGTTAGTGAGGAGTATGTCCGAGTGAACTTCCTGGACTTGGGCCACATCCAAGGCTCATGGGGATCTTGTCCAACTACCCCTTCATGCTGGCGCCTGGCATGGGGACGAACGCCTTCTTCACCTTCACCATCTGCCTCGGCCGAGGTTTGCCGTACCAGGCGGCTTTTGCAGCGGTCTTCATGGCCGGATGCATCTTCATCCTGCTGAGCATCACTGGTTTGCGCACGCTTATGATCCGGCTCTTCCCAGAAGGTATCAAGGACCCTGTGGTTGCGGGAGTCCCGGGACTGGAGAGACTCTTGTGGCATCAAGGGGTGGTGAATGGATAATCCCTGCACCGCTTCAAGCAAGCCCTTGCAAGTGACTTCCCTCCTTTTTGCCCTGTGTTAGCCTGTGTTCTTGTTTTTTGGAAAAAGGGCGGTAGTTTTTTGAGGCGCACGGTTCACAAAAATCAACCGAAACCACGGGCAGAAAAACCCCTTTTTCTTCCAGGAGAGTATCGGTGCCGGCGTCGGGCTGTTCCTGTGCTTCATTGCCTTCCAGAGCTCTGAAGGTGCGATCCGATCTTCCTCCGCTCTTCGTGCCCGGTTGCGCGGCGAACCGGGTCCCGGTCCGGTCCAAACACGGCCCGTGTCGCGACGTATGTCGGGAGGTTCCTGGACGGCGGTTCCCTTCTTTGTGAACACTATAGTCACTATAGTGCTCAGATGGTCAACCTCCAGGGTCCTTGAGGGTCCCCCAATCACTCACCTCACCAACCTCGCCGCACTGACCAGGGATGGGACTCTCTGTAGCAGACCCCGCCACGCTGGTGACCTTGAACTCCTTGTCGTTGAACAACTACGACGCTTACAAGCTTTGGCTGAGCCTGGCGGTGCTGGGTCTCACCGCCACGCTCTTTGCCGCCAAGGCATGGCCCCACCAGGGGCGATGTTTTGGGGTGGGGGAGGAAGCTGCACGGATGGTGGGGCGTTGATGCCGGCACCACGACAGGTCCAGGTCTCTTATTTCACCATTCAAGGCTCAGCCGGGTCCGCGTCACCCATCGATGGGCTTGGACCGTAGGTTGAGGAGGACCTCCCAACAACACAACCATAATAGAAATCGAGCAAATAGATTCAGATAAATCTGGTCCCAGATCTACACGCCTCCATTCTTCCCGTCCGCTGGGAGATCACCCGTGCCAGGTGCCCGGAGCGCCCTTGATTGGCATCATCTTCGGCACCGCCGTCTGTTGGATCGAGGGCTTCGCGCGTGGACGCGAGCACTCGGTCTTCGGCTACCCCTTTGGCATCAAGGGCAACCACACAGACAAGGACTGACAGGGCTGCCGGCGCCCAACCGGATGGGTGGTTGTTCAGCTAGATCGGCGCGGGCAGTATACAGAATCATGTAGGCTTTGGATGTACAAAGCTCGCGAGTCACCTCCCGAAAGCTTCACCTTCGCTTCCAACCCCCTTGTGGTCGCCCCTTTGATCCCCCGGATTCCACGCGGACTCGACCGAAACGACCGCCGACCGCCGGCGACAACCGAACGGGGGGTGCACCGTTGGCGGGGGGTCTTCCCCCCGCGGCGCGGTGGCGGCCACCGCGGCGCGCGGCGGCAGGACTTCCACATCTACGTGCCCAGTAGCCTGGTGGCGCAGCCGTCGCTGGAGGGGCTCAGCGGCGCCCTCTGGGACGGCTTCGGCGCGGCGGTGCACGCCGACACGGCGGCCACCTTTTGGACGGCCGTGGGCACGTGGCGCGGAGCGGATCGGTGAGACAGCGGGTGGTCCGGTACAGCGGGTAGACATGGGAATCGCTGTACTTTTCAATCTGTTTTGGGAATCACTATCCATTAAGTGGTGGCTAGTGGGTGTGTCGTTTTGTCATGGCCCCGGAGAGTGTATGGGTTGGACATTGTGATGGTTATATAATGTTATATATATATATATACTGTATATTGTAATTAATGTTATGCACATGTGTACAAAGAACATGTTCACCTCACGGCACACTCTACAAAAAACCATGGAAACAACACATGCCCAACAAGCTGAGGGCATGACTTTGTACAACATCAACCTATGCTATCTTCTGCTAACTCCCTTCCTGCAGACTTGATCGTACCAGCTCTAGCACAAGGCCAGATGATCACCAGCTTCTACCGGAGGACTTAAGGACTTCTATCCAAAAAAAGCTCATGTCAGACCATCAGACCTTGCGCACTCGGACGTCACCGAAAAAGAAGCCGCCGCAGACGAAAAAAAGGACGACTTATGATTATAGCAGTGACTAATATTGACGTGCGCTCTCACGACTGAGACTCCTGTTCGTCGCCTCCGGTGGCCAGCTTTGGCCCCGTTTTCCGCGCGTTCCGCGGGTTCCGCGTCGAGTCGACGCCGGAAGTCGCCGCCGTTTTCGGCGTCCGAGGTTTTGCTACACCGACCTCTTGGATTCGTCCGGCACCTTCTTTGCCGTCGCCAAGGCCTGGGAACGCCAGGCTGTGGAGCTGTCCCCAAGCAATAGGGGGGGGTAGTGCTGCAGTGGGAGTGACACGGGGCACGCACGTCTCGGGGTGACGAAGCACAAGGCCTGCTTGGAAGTGGAAAGTGGTGGGAGTCCCCCATGATGGAGGCAGAGTTTGCAATGGGGCACTCAGAAGTTTCACGAGAAGCCGGCAAGATCAATAGCAACAGTGGCAGCACATACCTACCGCCTCAAGACGGCAGGCCGGACGGCATTTTGCCAGATACTCACAACTCAATACAGTGATTCCTGATCCTGGCCCCAAATGCTCCCCTTCATGCCCCTTCGTTTGCCTAAGCCGTGTCGAACACCCCGAATTCTCTCTTGGACTTCTTCCCGTTCCTCCACCTCCACCTACTCCCGGCTGACCAGACTGGGACCGGTCCGGGAACTCGGGAAACGGTCGGAAAGCGGATCGCACTGTCTTCCTTTGGGGCTGCCACCTTTTGAAAGATCAACTGCCATCTTCTTGGAACTCTTCCCGTCAATGATGCTTGTGACCCAGGCCCTGAACTCGCCCAGAACTCGCGACAGACCTTTTTTGGGGGAACCTTCAAGGAAACCTCAGCTTTGCTGGCGGAGAAAGACAGTGGTCCACTTCGGATCGGCAGGTCGCGGGGCTGACGGATCGGCGTGGCAACCTGCCGCTGGCGCGGCAGATGCTGGGGCTTGGGCGATGAGTTGGGGTTGGGGCATGAAACGACGTAGACGGGTGATCAGAATGAAACACACAAAAGAGACATCACTTGGAAGTAGGACGGTGGCCACGTGTGGGCAAAGGCTAAGCAACGATCTGGGTATTTAGAGCATGTCCCAGACATGTTGTGTTGCAGTGTCTAAGTCTATTTCTGGGTTATGTTGGGCTAGCAGTATGGCCAAGTTCGATTGATCTTTTCAATTCCATTGCTTGGAGGTATCACGTGGCCAATATCTCTGGAGCACCAACCCTTGAACAGCCATCCCTTTCCAGCCGTGGCTCCGACCGATCATCCCACCGATCCCACGGGGCCGCCGGAGCTTCGACCGTGTCCACACACCATGGGCGCCACGCAACAGGCTTGGCGTGTGCCGATCCCACCGCCCAGACACCGCCCTGTCCCCGCGTCCGGAGCCGAGAGGTTGAAGAGCCTCGAAAGGCTCACCAGTAGAGGTGGGTCAGAACCCGAACTAGACTATCCTAGCTAGGTGCCCCAGGTTACGGGTCCTAGTTCAGGTCACTATCCACCTTTGTTGGATATATCCAAAGATTCCCCAAACCCGTCCGTTGGACGGGGTGATCCGAGACGGGAATTTCTCCAACCTTCGGTGTGGCCCAAACTGGTCGAACTAGACTTCGGTATCACTATAGGTTGGGTCTGTCCCATTACCTGTAGTAGTAAACAATTATCACTATTTTTGAACAAGGCCTCTACTAACCATCATCACGCACGGTTACTGGTAATAGGATAGACCCAAACAACAGGGTCTCATAAAGTCTTTCAACCTCTCTTGGGACGGTCCAAAAACGGCCGCCCCACCTCCCACCGTTTCCCCGTGGAAAAAACCCAACGGTGTTCCAGGAAGCAAGAGAGGTTGAGAGACCTGAACTGCGACCCCATACAAAGGGAACATCAATAGGGACAGATGGGATGGGCTACAAGTTGGGTTTGTCCCGTCACTGGTCGTTGGACTTCAGGTTTCAGGGATCGCGCCCTTTCCGGGTCACCGAGTAGCTATCGCTGCATCGCTGCGTTCTTCGTCAGACGGCTGGAGTCAGAGGGCTGGACACCGGACGGCTCGACGTACCGCGCGTGACGCGTGACGTACCGAGCGAAGCGAGGAACATGGCGTACCTCGCGGACGCCCTCGCCGCGCTGCTGGGCTCGATGCTGGGCGTCTCCACGGTGGCCACCTTCGCGGAGTCCACGGCAGGTGGGGCCGGGGGCCGGGTGGGCGGAACGAAGGATCGATGTCATCAACGCTGTAGAAAGGGAAAGGAGAGGAGGATGGAATGGGGGAAGGATAAGAAGGAAGGCCTGGAAGGAAGCTTCATGAAGCGTCTCATCGCCAAAACGGTTCCAAGTTGGGGTGGTGCCTTTGACCTGTTCAGCGCGTAGATCAGGGTATCCCCGACTTGGGAAGCATTGGAACCTCATAAGCTACGGGGCAGGCGAAGCCAGAGAGGTCCTGCTGGGTCAGCCTTGGGCAGGGTGACTGAAGGTGCATTTTGGACCCCATCGGCTGGTCAAACCTGTAAGCCCAGCTACTGAAGAATCTGGATGAATCAACCTGGCAGGCCTGAAGAGGCTTTACAATCCATGTCTGGGGTACTTTCCTACCTGTGTTTCACCTACTCTACCACACCTGCTGTAAAACACAGCGAAGGATGGTGTAGAAGCGCCCATGACCCGCGAGTGAGTGCATCCAAGTCCTGAATCGGGATTGGGACCTCTCATCCGCCAGAATGCCTCAGTGAGGCGTTGCGGACGGAGCAAAGACAGGGCTGGCATCCTTGGCCACTGGGAGGTAGAACGGACCCCCCTACGGCTGCTGGCGCTTTCTGTACTTTCTTTTGGTAGTTATTGTTATTGTAATGAGTTCCCTGCTTTAATGCGTGTAGATTTTCTCGATTTGATTGTAACATAAAGACGGCGATTATTATTGTTATTCTAGACGTGTTTGGAACCCCAAGCCAGATGTGTGTCACATCCACAAGCAAGGGGGCCCCGAATTATTTGGGCGTGTGGAATGGAATCAGCCACATGCAGAATCCCAGCTCTGCGCAGCCTTTGAGACATGGACGCATCCTGTCCACTTGTTACATATATATATATATATATATGTGTGCCCTATGTGACCATGACCCACCACTGAGGTCACCGGGCTGTGCTTCCTGCTGGCCATCCCCATCGCCCCGGTCGTGTCAGCAGTGCCCCCCCTGGCGTCTGGGCCCATCTTGTGCCTGCTGGGCGCACTGATGTGCAGCTCTGTGCGAGGGATTGACTGGGATGATTTCCAGGCACGGCTGGCCGAGTTCGGTCGAGACGTTCATTCGAGATTTGGGGAGTCAAGCATTTGGACATATTTGGACCAGTTTGGTTCAATAGTTTTTTTTTGAACATGGGCAGTGGAATACTGCAAGAGATGCATGGAGGTTTTCGAGGGATTTGCACCTGCATGTTGGCCTCATCATCAAGAGAACACGTGCACACGGTGTTGCCAGATCAACCAGTCCCCCCACCACCATCTACTATCCATCCTTTTTGAATCAGATTGGCCATGAACGCCACGTGTTGCCCCCTACTTGTCACCATCCAAACACACCGAAAAGCAGAAAACCACGGATCTCCATTCGTCTAGGAATCGATGCCTGCCTTTGTGGCAATGGTCACGATGCCCTACACCTTCAGCATCGGCTATGGCATCATCGGTGGTTTAGTCTTGTGGATCGCCATCCAAGTGCTCTTGATCCCTGTCCGCCTCTCGCGGAAGGAGGACCCCTGGGTCCGGTTCAGGGCCCTGTGGGCGGGCGTTTTTGTGGAGGGTGACGACGAGCCGAGCCTCAGTGAAATGGACACCGATGTGGGCAGCTCCTCCGACTCCCTCGCGTGAAGATGGAGCAGACTTCAGCCAGAGCAGGTGGGTTTCTGTGGAGCAGACCAGCTTGGCGAAGCTGTGAATTCAACTCGTCAAGGGTGCCCGGAAGCGTCCTGGTACTCAGACTCTTGATTCATGTTTTTGTATATTGCATATACACGGTATATAATTGTACACCTATATATACATATCATATATACATAGTTAGATTATGTTAGATTATGTTAGTGTACATGTGTTTTTCTCCTTCTTATCGCTTTCTGGCATCATGTGCCAACTTTTAAGCCATCCAAAAACAATGAAGGCGAATGGCCGAGTGACGGGCCTTTGCTTTCAAGGAACTATATAGGGCCTGCAGCACAAAGCCTGTGCCCTGACATCAAGGGATGTACAGTTCCGTCAGCTAGCTCAGACGCGCCAAAGTGGACCTGCTGATCAACTCACCCTCGGGGGGAGGGTGGAGTGGTGAATCGCTCCTCTCCTGGTGAACCGTTCGTGACCGGGTCTTGACCCGTTCGTGCCAGGCCACCCAGGCACCAAACCGAAAGCTCTTGGGTTTCAAAGCAGAAGGCACCCGGAGGTCGCCAGGCGCATGGGGCGCTTTTGGAGTCCCAGCCGTGGATGCGACTCCTGGCACTTGCACCTCCTTCCCCCCTTTGGAGCTGGGCACTCCTTCCGAGCTCGGTGACTCGTCGCGCTCGGCTTGGCGACCCGAGGTCCCGGCGAACGTGGCGCGGCCAAGCACCATGGTCTCCCAGGTGCCGCGTGGGGGCGGAACCCGTCTTTTGGGGCCAAACCACCGGGAGAACGGGCGGACGTCATCGCTGTAGAAGGTCCAGGAAAGGACACCAGGTCGACCGACGGTCCCAACTCCAAGTTCCATTCGGGGCCAGCGAGTTGGATCATTCCCTACAAGCCAAAGACCTCATTGTACTGGAGATGGTCATACAAAACCAGTACTCAAGGAGGTCAGTCGGACCAGGTTTTACTTGGTCTGACTGGACTCGTAGGGATTCTTTTGATGGTCACCTGAAAGATCCCTCCGCCTCTCCAACCTCCCAAGGTCCACACCGTCCACCGTCCAAACCACATGCAGGTGCCTCCGCCGGTGCCAGCGCCGGCCCGCATGGCGTGCTTCGCGCCGCCGTTGCGACGAGGCTGTGGGGCACCTATTCACAGAAGGGCCTTAGGTGACCAGAGGAGGAACTTCCCTACTTCAGTGGGGCAAACAATTGGTCGAACTGTAGGGACTAGGTTTTGGTGGAGTTTTTTTTTGGTGAGCGGGTGCTTCTGTGGCGTGAAGGCATTCTTTCAGCGAAAGCCCGAGGTCTATATTCTTAGCACCAATCAAGGTAAGGCGACCCTGTAAAAAGGGCCCGGTTTGGTGGTAAAGGCGTCTAGTTTCTGACAATCGTTCTAATTCTAATCGATTCTAATATTAGCATAGAACCACCCCCCAGCTTCTATGGGAAATCCCTCTGTCAAGCTGGGTTCGTGTCACACCGTTGGTCAGCATCCCTGTTCTGAAACTGCCTGCCAGTTGGATATTTATATATATATATATATATAGCCATAAAGGGCGCTCCAACAGGTGTGTTGGTCAACCGTTGGCCTTGTTTTCAACATCTTTTGGCATTCCGTGCCTTGGGCATTTGACCCCTTGGGCATTCCGTGCCTCCTGTCCATATTAGCCCTCCATGGGCTTGACGTTTGGACTCGCATTGTAAAGAAGTCTTGAAGTCCGGGAGTGTCAGACTGTTTGACACACAGTCGTTACTTGATCCAAAAGGTCCTCTACTTCAATGATGTTCCAATATCGTCTTCCCTGGAATTCAAGCGGAACTGGCAGATGAACACCTGGTTTGGGCTTGGCTGCGACGGTGCACCGGTTCCAACCCCCGACGTCTGCAGCCAACCGGTGAAAGCAGGCAGCCTGCAAAGCTCTCCGCGGCTCGGGGTTGGGGAGCCTCAAGAATGCGGGGTGGGGGGATTCCCCCAGCTGCGCGCGGGGAGTTGGAAGGAAAGCTGGAACACCTCCTCCCAACCACGGGGGGGGCGACTCACTTCCACCGCGCCGCCAACGGAGACTCACGGGGGACCCGACCTGCGGAGACCTGGTCCACAGGCCCTGCGGTCTCCGCAACGCTTGCGTTGGGCATTTCGACCTTGGGGGGGCTTCAAGGCCTTCAGGTCGTCAGCTTCATGGAGAGGATGATCGGGAGAGGGCAGCAAGATGATGCGATGATCCGATGGTTTGGACCCAGGGGACCCAGCGGGGTTGATGTGTTGCCTTTTGAGTCTGCCTGTCTCCTCGGACAGCGGGAAGATGATGCGGTGGCACTGGGTGGGGTCTCAATGAGTCAAAACAGAAGTTCTTGGTACGACTTGTATTGGTACGACTTGTATGTATATCAATGGTTGACACCAATTGGTACTTGTTGTCTTTAGCATGTTCATATAGTTTTTCTCCAAAACACCGGGATTCCGGTGCTTTTCTTCGGTGAAGAGCTCTCCGTTCCAAACGCCCAACGCACGCCCAACCCACGCGGCCGAGGTTCAGAGCCTGGCCGCTGTGGGTCTGGCGCAGGGTTGGGAGACCTGGACCTCGACGGCCCTTCGTTCCCGCCGGCTCGGAGGGACGGCTGGACGGCTTGAAGGGACGGAGTTGGTCCGACGGAAAAGACGGTTTCAGAACCAGGAAGTGGTGGATTCTCCACCGATGTTGTGCAGATCTTTACTTCTGTACTTTAGATGTTGTGCGATTCCGCCAACAGCGATTCCTCCTGCTGTGGCTGGGATGTCACACTTTCACCGCCTTTTCTCAAGTCATCCACCAGGCAGGTGCCCCCGGTCATTCCTGCACGACCCGACCTCACCATGGGCAGCGCTGCTTCCGCGAAGCGCTGGTCGCGCCCGACTGCTCCACCGTTCGATCTGGATCTCTACGAAGTGCAGCTGCAGCGCTGCGACCGTGACATTTGGGACATGCACATGGCGGTGCACCCCCACATCGACGGCATGGTGTTGACGGAGTTCGGTGCCTCGCAAGCGGTGAGGGAGTGGAATGAAGGGCATCCGGAGCTGGAAATCCAAAGGGGGCATGTGATCAAGGAGATCAATGGATATAAAGACCATGCAAGCATGAAGGAGCAGCTGTCCACCTCCACTTCATTAAGGTTGCTGATGTGCAAGGTGAGGACGGGCTCGCAGCAGTGGGCCTTCGAGGTTCAGAAGCACCGGGAACGTCGAAGGGTTGCCATTGATGCTCTCGTTCATCAGGTGGAGGTGCAGGAAGGCGATCTCGGGCCCTGCGCCATTTGCCATGATGAGATGGTGCAACGGTGCGACGGTGGTCATGACCGGTGCGACGCCCTGACGCCCGTGCGACTACCTTGCAATCATCACTTTCATGAGTCGTGCGTGAAGAGGTGTCTGCTGACGGGGAAGCATCGATGCCCTTTGTGCAATCATGATTTTGAAATGGTTCTGAGGCATGAAAGCTCTACGCCTCTACTCTGTCAAGGTTGAAGGAGACGGCAGTAGAAGACTTGCAAGACTTGCATTCGACGGCTTGCTTGGAGCTTTGTAGATTTGCAAGCTTTGCATGACTGGAGCCTAGTAAAGTTACAAGACTTGCATTCAATTGCTTGCTTGGAGCCCTGTATAGAGATGTGCTAGATCTGCATGATTGGAGCCTGGTAAAATTGCAAGACTTGCATTCGACGGCTTACTTGGAGCGCTGTAGATTTGCAAGCTTTGCACGACTGGAGCCTGGCATAGTTACAAGACTTGCATTCAATGGCTTACTTGGAGCCCTGTATAGAGATGTGCAAGATCTGCATGATTGGAGCCTGGTAAAATTTGCAAGACTTGCATTCAAGGGTTTACTTGGAGCCTCGATTTGCAAGCTTTGCACCTTCTTTTCGGAGACTTGTTTTCAATGGATCTTTGCGGAAGTGGAAGTGGACGAAGTGCTCGAAAAGCGACTTTCCCACACTTCCGCACGTGCTGGTAGCATGAGGACCCGAGTTGAACTGGTCCTCAAAAACAGCGCCCTCCATGTCACCACTCTCCACGAGCCTCGCACCCTCCCAACCCCACGAGCCTCGGACCAAGCCACTCCGGCCCGGCCGCGTTCGGACGCCACGCCCCTCCGCCGCTCCGCCGCTCCGCCACGCCACGCCCGAGGTTGAGAGGAAGACCCGGCGCGCGCTTGTGACGTAACCCGACGATCCTCGGAACGGTTCCCAAAGTGGAAGGTCTGAAGGATCCGGTGGTGGACCGGGTGGGAAGGATCCGATGTACGACACCTGGTTTTTTCCGAAAAATGGACCACCTGGTGGTTTGTTAGGCGGTTTGGATCCACACATGGTGGAGCCTTGAGAGACGAAGAGAGCCTTTGGATGTTCCACGCCTTCTTTGGCGCGAAAGACGTGAGGTGTTGCTCTTCCGAGCGAAGCCGCGGTCCGGGCGGTCCCGGCGGTTCTTAACCACCGAAGCTCCCGGTCGATCGGAACACACCGGCGATCCGGTGCCGAAGTGCTGAGCTCTTTTTCTCCAAAGTCGAGGGTGTCTAACACCAAGCATCCCTCAAAGCATCTTAGATAAGAGGAATCACGTGATACATTTCAAGCAAAAAGGACACCGGGAAACAAGTCTACTTCACTGGGCTTCTATTTTTTGCGGGGTGGTTTGGCTTCCGCGGAAGCCCGAGGGTCGGGGCGTTTGGCTTGGCCGAATGTCGCGTGCTCGACATTTGCAGGGTGTAAGACAGGATCTCATTTCTGAACTCGGAGAAGCCAAAGGAAACCGATGGACAACTCAGGACGTTTTGGGGATTCACATTGTGAACTCCAACCTCCAGTGGGAGGTTGATCCACATCATGCAGACTCTTGATTCATAACACAAGTGTGTCGATAGCAGCGTCCACTGAAGAATTTCGGTGGAAATCCGCCGGGGAAGTTATTGATGAAAACAGGTTTCTACTCATGCTTTTGTCGAGTCGTTCTCCGGCCAGAACCACGTTCTCTCTCAAGAAGAGCATCTTAGGGAATAGGTTTTTCTTGATTTTCGTTGCTCGTCTCCTGACCGCTCCAATGTCCAATGGAAAGGTCAGCAGACCGACATCGCCCAGCACAAAAGGATACAACAAGACTCTATCAGCAATACGTTTTGCCCGTTCCGCTCACGTTGGACCGGGGTCGATTGATTTGGATGGTTCATGATGGTTCCATTGTTTTCTTTGTGTTTGAGAGCAGCTCTGCTCTCACAGCCCAACCACACCAAGACTCCACCGGCCACTGCGTGCTGCTCCATGGGGAGCAGCGAGCGCCCGACCGGGCAAATGGAGGGATTGCTCCCTGGGGCTGGGGCTTTTTATCTTGGCTGCGGGGCTGGTGGTCCCGTCACCTTTTCCCGCGGAACTGGGCGATCCAAAAGAGCCACCATTTTCGAAGATGATGAAGAGATTCCAATGGGGGGGGTGTTTGAGGAATCGAGAGTCTACATGATGTGTTTGTCGGTGTGTTTGAGAAAAGGGAAGTGCCTTTCTCGCCCCGAGACTTCAGCCCTGCGGGCCGCCGCATGGATCGCTCCAGCCGGGCGGCACTGACTTCGATCAGCGAAGAAGTGCAGCCGCGCCGAACTGCGGACTTGCTAGGTTCTCAGTCGTTGGGCCGTGATCCTCGCAGGAATTGCAGCAATCAAGGCAGATGAAGGCAGCCATGTAAATGGACCATATGATTTGGAGAGGGGGCAGGCACCTGGGAAGGAAATCACCAGACATTGCAAACTGGCAAGTGCGCTTGCATTATTCAGACACCCCGTCCCCATGCCCACCCACAAGTCGGGCTCGGGGACGACCCTAGACCGAAGATGACTGAAGATCATGCGTGGAAAAAGCGTGCTCCAGGGCTTGGCTTCCTCCAGGAGGTTCGGAACGTGAGATGTGCTGCCTGTGAAGGCCTGTTTGGAAGGTCACCCGTTCAAACATTGGAGAATGGATCCAGGATACATCAATTTATGAGTTTGGACACTCACTCTTAAAAATAGCACCGCATAGGTTACATCAATTTAAAATCATTAAAGTGGGGGGGGTTGTTGAGAGATTTGAGAGCATGACCTCGACTTTTCATCCCCGGTGCGGACCAAACATCAAGCCATTTCCAGGGTCCATCCAGGACGGCATGGCACTTGGGGGTCGCAGCCTGAGAACCTCATGGCTGGGACGGCATAGATGTGGCAGGTCACTTGTGTATTTGAGCTGCCGATTGGTTGTCTGGGTCGCATGCTGCCAGGTCCAAGGCAGCAGAGACAGAACATGAACCCCTGCAGAGCTAAATGGTCACCAAACAGATACCAAACAGTACAAGACCCAGTTGCAAAATCTAACATTTGTGCGAGCCCATTGATAGAACCCTCAATCCAACATCATTAGATCATTAGATGATCCTAGGTCCATCCAGGTCCTAGGACTATCCAGCAGATCCATGACTCTCCACTTGTCTATCACCTCACCATACCTCGGCCTCTCCGCTCGGTCTCGACGCCATGCTGTGACCCGCCATGCCGCCCCGCCCGCGGGACGCGCGTGGGACGCCCCCAGTGGGGGAGAAGAACGGCCGTGGCCAGAGCTCGCTTTGGTCTGTTCATTCTATACCACCTTCTGTTTCACAAGTGGCCGAATTCATGGGGCAATGTGTTGAGGTCAGAGGAATCCTTTGGTATACCCGGTATACCCTTAGTTCCCTTCATGTTCCTTGAGTCCCTTTGGTTTACCTTTGCTTCACGAGGGCTTCACGCCCCTCCTTCTCCCCGCGGCCGGTCCGTGGACCGATCGGACGGCACCACTGGAGGACCGGAACAAGCCGTGACCAGCACGATGTCGCTGGTCTTTATAGGTGGCTCCAAAGACTACATGTGGCTCATCTTGGGGTACACAGGCGGTGTATTTCGAGTAGAAAGTGACGTTTCCGCCCAAAATCAATCATGAAGCTTGAGCCCTGGCGGGCGCGTCCGATCGGCAGTCTTCTGCCGGGTAATGTCTCTTGTTTTGACGTTTGGGAGGCCAACAGGCCGTGAGGAGGCTGAGTAGGCGAACAAGTCTATGACTGAAACGGCGTCCAAATGCTACTTTTTCCTTCGTAAGGGACGTTCCCGCTCCCTCCGCTCCCCTTTTTTGTAGAGGATGCAGATGCTTTGAACAATTCTTTTTCAGGTAGAGGAAGCAAAACAGCCAAGCAAAACAGCCACGGGTCTACTTGTGACCATTCCTTCAATAGCCTTCTGGGACTTCCTGGGGAAGACCGAGAAGGTTCCAAGCCGTCGGATCGTCCGGCCAGCTCCACGCCGCGCGAGCAGCACTCGGAGGAGGGCAAACCGCACGCGCGATGGACGCGCGAGTCGGCTACGCGCGACAACTCGGGGATGTGGCGAAGTGGCGACGGCTTTGAGGTAGATGTAGACCATGATTTATATAGACTCTAGATGGAGGAGCCCCATGTCTGTGGATGGCAAAACCTCTGCGGGGGGTTGAATTTGATCAAGAGTTAGCTTGGTGTCACGGGCTCTGACTACAAGCGCTCACGAGGTTCCTTTACCCTCCCAATTTGGAGGGGGTTTGTGCCCTGTGCGGAGAACTGGCCTTGCCGAAGACCAGTGGCGTTTCAGTTGAGCCATCCAGAAGACCAGTGGCCAGGTGCGGTAGGCCCTTAGGCATCCGATGGTTTTGGGTAGGCATTGTCGTGGAGTTCGGAAAGAGGACCGCTGAAGGGAGACGAGTTGCGCCACTGCTGTGACCATCTCTTACCACAGGCTGAGACGAAAGACCGACCGTGTTGTCAGTGTTAAGAACGAGTTCCACTAAAACGCCGGACCCCAGGAGTTCAAGTAGTTCACCTCTCCAAAGCCCAGGCTTTTGGGCTTCCACTTGGGGTCCGGCCTGCAGGGTGACGGTAACGAGCTCGCAGTCGCACGGAAACGAACGCGGGCGTGAACCACCTGTGCTCCAGTGTCGGATCTCAGAGGATCGCTGCCAGGAGTCAGGTGGTTCCTGAGCGGCCACAAGTGGCGGATGGGAGCCAACAATGGATGGGCGACTGGTGGCCTAGAATCGGAGGAGGTGAAAAGTGCTGAACATGGCTGGCCGAATCCTTCCAGGTTGAGGGAGGGGCGTATTTAAATATGCAGCACGGATTTTGATGTTCAGAACTGACATCGATTAGTTGGTGTCGCTTGGAACTTCAGCAATATAGCCTTGAAGCAGCCTTCCTGGCGGCCTCACCTTTTATATGCAAATCAGGGTTCCATCCATCTGGCAAAACTGGAAGGGAGGCGGATTTCGCCAACCCCACCCGCAACAACTGCTTGAGAGACCCCTGCGGGTCGTGCCAGCTGCGTGGCGGGTTGGGCGACCGGCCTCCCTCCACCCCCAGGCCAGCTTCTACGTGCAAATCGAGCGCTGCGCGGGTGTGCCCAAGCAATCCTGCTCCGTGCGTTTAGAGGAGGACGACCGACACCGTGACGAGACGGAAACGAGACGGAAAAAGAGGACGACCGACACCGTGACACCCGCGGCTCTGAACGTGGTGGCGCTGTGGAGGGCCTGGAGATGCGGGGTGCTTCCGAACCAGGCCCGAGGCTTGAGCAGACTTAGATTTGCGAAAAACACTCGGATGGAAAATGGCCCAATTGGATGGCCATTTTCCTGTACAAACAGGTGGGTTTTGCACTGTCATGAATGATTCCAGGGACTGCAAGGCCCTGATCTACTTTCTGTGAATTCGCCGAGGGGTGTGGTTTGGGGGGGTTAAGCAGCTACGAAGAAGAATGACGAAACACGACGTGGGAAGACTGAATTCTGAGACTTCTAAGGGTTGGTGTGTTTCTCGGCTCTTTTTCAGGGCCTGGGACTCCGACACATTTGTGCGTGTTGCAGTGTCCCCCTTAGCTTCAGAATGTGCGTTCGATCCACAGTCGGCAGGCCGTTCACTTCACGGCTTCACATGGCTGGACCATGAACCCCTGGCTGAGCCTAGACAGAACGGGTCGGCCATGGCCTCTACCAAAGCTACCAACAGTGGTTGAAGAACCCTACTTGGACACACTTGGACTATCCCCTATAGGTACCTCAGTAAGGCCCTAGTTCAGATCACTTAGCCTTTGGTGTGGCCGGTTTGCCATATACGAGACACT